CTCTGGAAACGCAATTTTCTTATGAGTCATACGCACTTGACAAATTAAGATTTGCAAGAGATTACAGTAACATTGTTGGGGTTTTGTTGTTGGTTGTTTTTTTTAACCTAAACTCACTACAGCAAACCAGAGAAGCACCAGTTACGCTGGTTTTGAAATAGAGCGTTAGAATACAGGAAGGACAAGCCCTAACGGAATTCAATGAACCTGCAAAAAGTGACAAGGCACAACTGGGAATTCTCTTGCTGGCTCCTAGCAGTGTCCCCACAATGGGAACACCTAGTTGAACCCTCGACTGTTTTTATTACAGTATTTGTAAACTGTATGTTTAACAGCAATGCTCCAACGGGCCAGGCACCATTTGCACTGTAAATATCTGCTTTTTGTATTGCAGAATCAACTAAAATCTGGCAATTTCCAGGAATAGACAGCTGATTGCATTTCAATGTCTAACTATAATTTGCAGGGTTTGAAAGCGTAATGTTATGGCTGTTTTGCAGTTTCCATCTTTAAATCTTCCTACAAATCTAAACCCCCAGAGGGGTTGAGGCGGGCAGGGCCCCCCCTGGAAGGTCACCTGGGCCAACCCCCCTGCTCAAGCAGGGCCACCCAGAGCCGGTTTCCCAGGACCATGTCCAGACAGCTTCTGAGTATCTCCAAAGACAGAGATTTCACAACTTCTCTGGGCAACCTGTTCCAGTGCTCAGTCATTCTCACTGTAAAAAAAAAAAACAAACCACCAAACACCACTGTTTCCTGATGTTGACAGGGAACCTCCCCTGTTTCAGTCTGTGCCCATCGCCTCCATTCCTGTCACTGGGCACCCCTGAAAAGAGCCTGGCTCTGTCTCCTTGGCACCTTCCCTTCAGGTATTCGTATACATTGATATGATCTCCAATTCACACCTTGCAAATGTTCTAAGAAAATACCATCCTCGATTTCTCAGAAACTGATTCTAAAATGAGAACTCTCCAGCACTTGCTATATAACAATGAGCTGAGCAGAGAAAAATTTGCTTAAGATAAGCCGTATTGGAACTTGTTGATAATCTTAACATATGCTGAAAAACATTCTTAAGAACCATAACAAGAAAACAAACAACCTTTTATGCAAACTACTAAAACACAAAGAAAAATGCCAGATGAACATAAAAAAAAAGTGTGACCTTATTTATATTGTTTCACCTTTCCTTGTAAACTCTAAATTAATGTGGAGAGAAAAGTAATTCATTTTATGTAAACTGTATCTTCATTCTCAGCCTACCTCGTCTCTAATGCCATCCCCAGCAGCCATAAATGTTGATAAGTTTCTAATTTTAGATTAGCCAATTTAAACCAAACTCAAGTAAGAATTTACCATGTTTACTGTTTCTAAACACCAAAATGTAACCATCAAACCCAACCAAGAAAAAAAAGACTTATATTCTCAGAATTTGAAGGCATAACTTTTAACTTATTCCTACTACAACCTGTCTCAAACCAAATATTTACGGAACGTATTCTGCTTTAAATTTGCAGTAAGAAACAAAAGGCAAGCTCAAGAGAGGATTTTTTCCTCCAAACATTGATAAGACTGTCTTCTTTTCAAATGTCCTTCCTTGCAAGCAACAGGGTAAAGAACCTACCACAAAGCTCCAGTTTCTTAAGAGTTCATCAATATCGGCTTTACTGACATATCGCGATTGTATAGCGTTCCCTTCACAGATCAAAGACGGCAAGTCTAAAAGCACGTACAGAAACTTCAAAGCTCGACAAACACTGCTCCTATTCAAGTTAGTGCAAGGCATGAAAATAGCCTATTTAATAAACTACTGCCAGTTTGGTCACGGTCAGTCACAACCGCAATTTTGGGTTGGTTTTTTGGTTGTGGGTTTTATTTTCTGTGCATGAGATGGTTTCATGGATTAAAAAAGGCGGGGGGGGTGGTGGTGGGGAAACCCTGCCACATCTCGAAGATGGAGTCCCAAGCGGAGGAGACGCGAAGCAGGGCTGACCTGCCCACGGCACAGCAACCGGCCAGCACCCAATTCCCCTCCGACAACCGGCATCCGCCTGGCGAAACAAGGCAACGCCATCGCTCACCAACCAGCCTTTGCACCTCCGCCTCAAACCCGAACAGCAGTCTCCTCACACATCCAGCTACGCAAACGAGTAACTCAAACGTCAATTCGCCCTACCTCGTTTATGCAACTCCCGGAGCGGAATGCCGTCTCCTCCCCCGCCATCGTAGGGCAGATAGGGATCAGAAGAGACATCCATGGACGTGACGAACCCGAAG